CACACACACACACACACACACACACACACACACACACACACACACACAAACTATGCAGCGTTTCCACATTCAGTGGAAATGTTAAACATATCTGGTTAACTTCATGAACTTTAATTAAATCTAATTAAAAGCAGCAGCTGCAGTTTGTGTCACAGGAAGAGTTTTAACAACAGTTTAAACTTCTTTCCCTAAATTCTAACTCACTCACTCAGAGTCACCAAAATCATATGAACTTTGATTCTTCTAAAAACAAGTTCATTAAAACTCAGGTTTCACAAAACTGACAGAAAAATCATTTTAAACTAGAAACAGATCAAAGCTTCTCGTTTTCAGCAGCAGGCTGGTCACACAAAGATTATTAAAACTCAACAAACATAAAAATCTCACTGAAACAAAACAAAAGTGACTCACTTTGTGAGTTTTTCTGTCATTAAATGTCATTAAATGTCCTTAAATGAATGTGTGTTGACGTCAGTACAGTTTCAGTATCAGGTGTTTGAAACATCAATAAATCAAAGATGAACGTCAGACTGCAGGGTGATCTTTGTGCAACCAGCCCACCTCAGCTCAGAAGACCTTCAGCAGAGCTGTGGTTTCTGTACAACCGGCAGAGTTCTGGATCAGACACTTGTACTCCCCAGCATCACTCTGGCTCACGTTGGTAATGAGCAGATTAAAATGACCAGCACTTTTCTCCTGGATGATACATCGACTGTCTGTGACGGGCTCTCCGTCCTTGTACCACTGCGCAGTGGGGTTGGGCTTCCCGTTGAACAAACACTGCAGCATGACGGGCGTGCCCGCTGCTGCCGTTAGGTTGTTTAAGGGGATGACACATTTAGGGGACATTTCAGTTACCTGGAAGTGGAAGCTACACATCTCAGAGGATTTTCCTTTAAACTCTATCTTTTCATCCTTTGCTGGCTCAGCAAAAACATCAAAGTTGATGCTGACGTATTTCTCCCCCTGTTGGCTCGTTTGGTTATCGGTGTTGGCCACCAGCCGGACCGCTCGCTGAGACTCATCAGCCTCCTGCTCAAACTCAAACTCCAGCTCAATTTCTGACACCTGTTCACCATCAAACGAGGTGTTACCAACCATCAGGTCAAACTTCTGCGGCTGGACTTTAGCGCTTCCTAGAGACACGGCGGTCAGCTCCCTGCCCCTGGTCTTCCCTGAGAACTGCTTGGCACTCAGAACCACCAGGGAGGCTCTACACAGAGTCTCTCCAACCAGGTTGATGGCCCTGCAGGTATAAACCCCACTGTCCTGTGTGGAAACTTTACAGATCTTCAGGAAGTGGGTATCTCCGTCAGAGGAGTGAAGGTATTTCTTTGTGTTGTGTGGAATCTTTTTGTCACCTTTGAACCAGGACACAATGGGAGAAGGAATTCCCATCAGAGAGCACTCAAACATGACAGTGGTACCCTCGGGGGTTTCCATGTCACAGATGGGATTGATGAACCTGGGAGGCATCTCTGTGACCTCAAAAGCTATTTTCAAATCATCATGTTCCTGGGTGACAAAGTCCACAGTGCCCTCCTCGTAAATACTGGGGAGTACATCCAAAGAAATGACCATGCTCTTATTGTCGGCCGTGTACTCGGGAATGGTCACGATCTTAACCTGTTTCTCAAACTCCTTCACCTCGTTTTCATCCAGTTCTACCTCAAGCAGAATCTCCTGAGGGGATGGAGAACGAGAAGAGTCATTCTCCTCCACATCAAACTCCATCACGTGCTGATGGGTGACAGCAGGGGGCGCCGGCATGAACCTCACCTCCTGCGATACCACCACCACCAGAGCAACACTTCTGGCTTCTCCAACATAGTTCACAGCCTCACAGATATATTCGCCCTGATCAGCCTTAGTGACACTGTGGATGGTTAGAGAGATGTTATCACCATCTCTCTCCATTTTAATACGGTCGTCTGCCACCAGTTCAGTTTTATTGAGAAACCACCTAACCTCAGGGGAAGGCAGGCCAAAAACCTCAGCATAGAAGCTCAGAGAGTCATTTTCAAACACTCTTTTCTTAATGAGAGGTTTGAGGAAAGCTGGAGGTATTCCCTGGACTTTTTCCTGAAGGGTGGCCAGCCCCAARGACCCTTTGCCTGGAGTGAGGAATCTATCTTCATCCAAGTTTACTTCTGATGGATCAGTTCTAAAGCCTTCATCAGCAGGAGAGCTCAAGAAGTGAACAGGTGAGAAGAACTTCTCACTGGARTCTCCCGTGGAGGGTCTCTTACGCTCCGCAGAGGAGAAGGGAAACTCTTCAGGTGTCTTAAACCCACCAGGTGAGTCAGAACCTGAAATGTGAAAAGATGGAGGAGATTTCAGAGTGTGGAGGGACTCTGCAATGGGCTGCGAGACCTCCGTGGAGGAGCCTGGGGTGTAAAACCTCTCAGCTGGCTCAGGTATCTCCTCACTCATAGTGCTGCCAATCTCTATGGACATCTCAGACTCGGGGGACAGAGGTCTACCCCAGTCTGTTGGAGGGTTGTAGTAGCTGTAGACAGCTCCGAACGTCACCTCCTCTTCCTCCATTGAGCCGACAGCTGCTGCCATGGCACCTTCTAAACTGTCTTCTTTCTGTTCCTGTCCAACTGGAACATCTAAATTGGGCTTAACAGTCAATGGTTCAGGTTTTGGTTTTCCAGGGACTTGAATCTTTTCTAATTTTCTTTCAGCTCTAGCTGCTTTTCCTATCAGAGTCTCCTTTGTGACACTGACCAAACCTCTGCTGTCCACTGACGGCTCTGAAACTGAGATCAGGTCTTTACMTACAACTTCAGCTTCCTCTGAAACAAAAGTCTCCTCTAACCCTTTGACCCCCTCATCAATGAAGGGTTCAGCTTCTGCTAACATTTCCACAACATCTGTTCCAACAAGTCGTTCATCTTCAGCTGAAGGTCCATAAATCCTTTCATCTCCTCCAGCATCTTCAGCAGAAGCTGTGGTTCTGACCAAATATTTCACTAGGGGGGCTTTTTCAGACCTGAAAGGAATGAAGCTGCTGGTTCTGTCCAACGTCCTGACCATTTCTTCCTTCTCTGTTTTCATTTCACCATGCCTTATCTGTTCATGGACACCAGCAGGTGTAACCTTCATCACTGACTCTTCAACTTCCTCTACAAACTGCTTCACTGCGTCATGGCTTCCTGTTGGGACCTGGTCAAAACCAGGGGGCTCAGAGGGCTCAGAAACAGCTGGTTCTGGGGCTTTAGGAAAATGTGGATTTCCTTTTGGAACAAGTTCATCACTGTGTGTTTTATGCTTCTTCTCAGAAGTGAGTCCAACTCTCTCTTCTTGTTGGTCAAAGGACATCGCCACAGGAGGTATGAACTCCTCTGGGAACTCTGTTTCCTCCAGTTGATCTTCAAGACAGGGAGGTGTCATTAAAGCACCTGGTGAATCTGACTCAAAGGCCTGTTTAATCTGAGACACTTTAATCACAGCAGCAGAACCCTGAAGACCACATCCTGATAGAGTCGGAGGCTCTGCAGATAGACCAGGTCTGGTCTTTGGGGCAGTGACAGCTACGGCTGAAGGAAATTTATCTTCTGTAGAAGAGAAGACAGGTTTAAGCACAGCGGCAGGTTTCAGTACGTCCTCAGGTAATCCAACAAGAGGGGCACCCACTCTTCCAGAAGAAAAAAGACTCTTTGAAAACTGCACAGGTCCTGCTAGATCCAAGGACACATGGGACATGCTGGTCACCTCCCCGAGTTTATTTGTAGCTATACATTTGTAGACTCCAGCATCAGTGTGGGTAACACTGCTAACATATAGCCTGTATGACTTCTCACTCACCTCAGCTCTGTATTTCCCAGCTGTGACATCAAGACAAGCATTGTTAAAGTACCATGTGACTTCAGGGGCAGGTTCACCGGAGATAACGCACTCCATGAGAGCAGTGCTGCCCTCAGAACAGCTGACATTCTCCAACTCAGTCACCACACAAGGAGCTTCTCCAACCACATCAAAGGAGAAGGTAAACTTGTGTTTAAAAGTCTGAGAAGCTCCCTCATCACTGAGAACCTCTGAAGTTTTCTCTGGGAGAGGCTGAGGCTGGTGCTCGCTGCTTTCCTCCAACATCTCTGGGAGAGGAGTAGCAGCTGTGATTCTGATTTCTACTGGGGAGGCGGCGAAGGATTCATCTGAGCACCGGCGTTTGTGGATCACAGTCTGAGGAACTTGAAGCGTTGCCATTCCTGAATCCATGTAGGTCTGCAGTTCTTCCTCGATCAGACTCTCTTCACGTTTGTCAGGCTCTTCTGTAACGAACACTTCCTGAGTGATGTCCGCTTGTCTCAACCCCTTTCTGTCTGAAATCTGAAGCGTGGCACTGCAGATGGATTCACCGTGATTATTGGTTATGATGCAGTCATATGTCCCCTCATGGTCAGTCGTTGGATAGAAAACAGTCAGCTTGGACGTGTTAGACCTGTTTGTGATATCATAGTCAGGGTGGTGGGCTACTGGGTGTCCATTTTTGAGCCAGTTAACGGTGGGCAGAGGATCCCCTTGGAACTGGCACATGAATTCTGACATCTCACCAACTTTTACTTTGAGTGAAGGGATTTCTTTCAAAAACTTTGGAGGGGATCCTGAAGAACTGGTCTCTTCTTTTCCCACGCTCTGAGATTCTGTAGGTTTGGCTTGTTCTTGTTGTTGTTTGGAGCTTCCCCCACTTGTTGCTCCTCCTCCTCTTAATATTTTGAACTCTTCGCCTCTTCCTGCAGCTGACAAACCTTTCTGTTGTCTCCAGTCACTGCTCCCTCTGCTAGTCCCTATCTCCTCTTTAATCCCTCTCCTGTTTCTCACATCTGTCTGGAAGCGCTGGTGGTTTAATTTATCAACAGTCAGTGCAGACTCCTCTCTGCTCAGCCTCCTCTCAGCCTGTCCTCCCACATCACCTGGTGGATGTGAAGCTTTCACAGAAGCAACAGGTGCAGCTACATCCGAAGATAAAGTAGGACCTAATGCAGGACTGGTTGGTATAAAAGACGACTCTTGAACAGATGGTTTAAACCGGGCAGCTTGTTGACCAGGTTTTGTACTTTGAAGAGTTCCATCAGCAGGAGAACCATGTTGTGCCAGATCAGCAAATGGAAGAACCTGGGACTCAAATCCAGGACTGGACTGTTTGATCTGATTATCCAAAGCCCACTCTGACTCCAGCTCTGGTTCAACAACATCTTGCTGCCATTTCAGGATGCGCTGAGCCATGGCTTCTTCCTCGCTTACAAAGTACTCGCTGTCTGTCTGCAGCCTGGTCTCTCTGCCTTCTGTCAGCAGCTCCTCGGCTGGTGGCCACTGCGGGACTTCACCTGCCTGATCCCGGAAAGCAGCTGGAACTGAGGTGGTCAGCAGCACCTCCTCCTCTGTGGTTTTTCTGGGAGAAATGTCTCTTTTGTGTTCTGGAACGTTTCTTCTGACATCGGGGGTCACCTCTGTCTGGAACTGAGGATAACCCTCAGCCCAGTCTGACTCTACTTGTACAGACTGTTGCTCCATCAGAACATCCTGCTGCCATTTCATTATTCTCTGAGTCAAGGCCTCCTCTTCACTAACACACTTCTCACTTTCCAGCTCCGAGAGGTTCTCCCTGGAAAGCTGGAGGTCTCGTTCTTCTTTTGACTTCTCAAACAACTTCCTCTCTGCTCTGACTTTTCTTTTAGGTGACTGACCTTCTGCTCCCTTTGCTCCGACTTGTATTTTGGGAGATTTTTGTGCTGACTCAGCTGGAACCGCTGCTTCTTGTTCTCTTGTCTGAGCTTTCTGTTTGATTTCAGGCAAAGAGACAGAGGTCCCCTTTGCCACAAGTCCTCCCTTCTCTACCACCTCYTGTTGAGAGTACAGGTTCTTCATGCTGGATGGTTTTTGGAAAGATGGAAGGATGGCCTCACATTCCTGAGCTGCTCTTTTCTTCACAACGTCTTGATAGGTATAAATGTGTTCCTCAGGCTCCATCAACCCAGAGTCTGGTGTCCTCACCTTCATAATGGATGGTTTTTGGAMAGATGGGTGCATAGTGTCACTTCCCTGAGCTGATCTTTTATTCAGAAATTCCTGCTGGATGTAAATGTGCTCTTCTGGGTTTATGTACTCAGTGTCAGGCATCCTGGAAGATTTCTGGAAAGGGGATGGGATGGTCCCACTTTCCTCAGCTGATCTTTGCTTCAAGACTTCTTGTTGAGTGTACAGGTGTTCCTCAGGCTCCATCAAACCAATGTCCTGCATCCTTGTCTTTATGGTGGATGGTTTCTGGAAAGATGGAAGGATGGCCTCACGTTCCTGAGCTGATCTTTTCTTTACAACATCTTGATGGCTATAAATGTGTTCCTCAGGCTCCATTAACCCAGTGTCTGGTGTCCTCGCCTTCATAATGGATGGTTTTTGGAAAGCAGAAGGGATGGCCTCACCCTCCTCAGCTGATCTTTGCTTCACAATATCTTGATGGATATAAATGTGTTCCTCAGGCTCCATCAACCCAGTGCCTGGTGTCTTCGCCTTCATAATGGATGGTTTTTGGAAAGATGGGTGCATRGTGTCACTTCCCTGAGCTGATCTTTTATTCAGAAATTCCTGCTGGATGTAAATGTGCTCTTCTGGGTTTATGTACTCAGTGTCAGGCATCCTGGAAGATTTCTGGAAAGGGGATGGGATGGTCCCACTTTCCTCAGCTGATCTTTGCTTCAAGACTTCTTGTTGAGTGTACAGGTGTTCCTCAGGCTCCATCAAACCAATGTCCTGCATCCTTGTCTTTATGGTGGATGGTTTCTGGAAAGATGGAAGGATGGCCTCACGTTCCTGAGCTGATCTTTTCTTTACAACATCTTGATGGCTATAAATGTGTTCCTCAGGCTCCATTAACCCAGTGTCTGGTGTCCTCGCTGACATGTGCATGCCTTGCTGCCATTTTCTGATTCTCAAAGCGAGCAGCTTCTCCTCACATTCCATCCTGTCAGCCTCCAAGCTCTGCTCATACTGAGCCCTCAAGGTCTCATCTGGTTTTTCAGCTGCTTCTACATCAGTGGAGGCGGACTTCTCCATGACCACTCCTCCAGTTTGTAATTTAGAGAACTTTGATGTTTCAGCCTCAGGATCAAGAATCTTTGTTTTTGTAGTGGATGTTCTTTGGAAAGAGGGCTGCATGATATCTCTAGTTTCAGCTGATCTTCTCTGTACAACATCCTGCTGGCTATAAATGTGCTCCTCRGGCTCCACGTACCCAGTTTCCAACGCTTTCACCTTTTTGGTGCATGGCTTTGGAAAAGAGGTGGGCTTGGTCATACTTTCCATGGCAGATCTTTTCTCCTCCATCTCCTGCTGGGGGTAGGTGTGTGCTGTGGGCTCTAGGTACTCTGTCTCGGTTGGCACTGGAACATCAGTTTCTGGGTGGAACATCTCTTCCTCTGACATCCTGTTGCCTTGCTGCCACTTCCTGATCCTCAGAGCAAGGAGTTTGTCTTCACATTCCTTTCGCTCATCCTCCAGGCTCCTCTGGTACTGAGCTCTGAGAGATTCCTCAGAACCTTCAGCTGTTTCTGAGCCTACGGGTCGACCCGCTTCAGAGAGGTGTGATGCTGCCTCTCTGCCTTCTGCACCTTCAGAATAAAGGATCTCTTTGTAACTCAGCTCAGCCTCAGCTCTGTGATGTTCACTGCCCTTCGGCTCAAATCTACCATCTGACTGATAACCAGCAGCTTTATTGTCCTCCAGAGTCTCSGCTGACTTCCTGTCTTCCTGAGACACCATGGTGTCCACCAGCTCTCCTCTCATGATCTGAATGGCCCTGGTTCTGGACTGGGGCTCAAACGAGTGTCTGGCTCGAGGGTGAGATGGTTCTCTGCCTGTTTTTTTCTCCCCCTGATTGAAGGGTCGATTGAACTGCTGGACATCAGGCAGAGAGGCAGGTTTGACTCTCAGCCTCTCTACATATTCTGCGTAACTCGACTCACTGGTGACTGATTCCAGCTCAAACTCAGATGAAGACATGGTGGAGATAGAAAGCCTCTTTTTCTGTTTCACAGCTTTCTGCAGAGTGGTAAGCTTTGCTCTCACCTCGTTGTGGAGGCTCTCAGTGTCACTGAACCTGTCGCTGTACCTGTCGCTGCACCTGTCGCTGAACTTATCACTGAACCTGGCACCGGTGCGCCGGTCGCAGTAGATATCACTGAACCTGTCGTTGAAACGCTCCGACCTGTCAAACATCGGGGGAGGGGACGGAGCGCGCTCAGAGGCGGTTTCCAAACGTTTGGATTCCTTCTCTGAGTCTTTTTCTTTCAAAGAAGCCTCAGACTTGAAGTAGACAGTACGCACCAAAGCACTCTTAGATCGAGACCTACCCTGATGGACTTTAGACATCTTATCAAACGGAGAACCCACACATCTGAGGTCCACTCTGATCTTCCTCTCCTTCCTCTCCTCTGCCAAGCTGTCTACACTCTCGTGGGCTTTGGCCGAGCGCCGGACGAAGCCCAGGTAGTTGGCCGACTGCTCCTCTCGGAGCGAGACCAACAGTGAAGCTGTGGACTCGGCAGAACCCTCCGTGTTGATGGCCATCACCTTATAACTGCCAGAGTCCCTCTCCTTGATGCTGTCAATCAGCAGACAGCTGGTGTGCACGTGCAGTTTGCTGTCAGTGCTGATCCTACGCCTGCGCTCTTTAGGGATGGATCTGTTATTATGAAACCAGAGGATTGTTGGGGGAGGACAAGCTATCAGTTTACATTTGAACTCTACCGGGTCCCCCTCCAGCACCGACTGGAACTTCAGCTTCTTGGTGAAGGACGGTTTGATGTTCTCAGTCCAGGAGCCGATGGAGGAGGTCCTGCTGGAGCAGCGGTTGGCCGACACCAGGCCGTGGTCGATGAACTCCTCGGTGTCGGAGAAAGCTCCGCGGAGCTGCCGGGTGCTAGTGAGCTCGCTGCTCCGCTCTGCAAACAGAAACAAACAGAAGAGCTCAACAACCTCTGCAGGCTCACCACAGGTGCAAAAGATGATTATTAATGGAAATATTAAAGGCATGCTGGGAGTCACAGAGCCAGAAAAAAAATTCACTCACCATATTTGTTCGAATAAACGCAAGACTTGATTCTTTTTATTAGAAACCTGCAGGAAGTTTTGATCCTTCGTCTGTGGACATTTCTTCAAAACATAAATTATTTTATTATTGGTAAAATAAAAACATGTTTCCAAGATGGGCGGCCAACATTCGCTGTCGTTTTCTTTTTGCTAAATGTTCCTTACCTGACTTGCAGACAGGAGAATAAACGCCCTTTCTAATCCTTAACAGGAAGTGAATCAACACAAGCTCTTGAAAACAGAACTTTGGTGTGAAAATTAAATAATGAAGCTGGAGAATTGGGTGAGAAGGCGTTTATTCGAACTAATATAGTTTTACTGGTGTTATTTTGAAAGCAAACCACAGGAACCACATCCCACTATCTGCAAGCCAGGCCAGGACATGTTCTGTCAGGCTCAGACCTCCATATCTTTTAAAGGGCATTTCAACTTTTTTAAGGAGCTTTAAAAGATACACATCCTGCGCCTTTCCTCCGAAAACATCAGAAGATCCTTCATGCCAACACGAACCTTTGGATGCAAAGTTTGGAATCAAAAAAACGGAACAAGCAAGTTTTCACAGTGCTCTGCTGGAGGAAACCACGGGACCCCGTCAAAATAAGAGCAGGTAGAAAGATCCCAAACAAGAAGAATTTCCCATCTGAACTCATGAACAGGACATGCAGCTGTGGAGCACCAGAGACTAGTTAAAGGGACAGTTCAACAAGTTTCTAAGCTGTAATCTGTGGAAACAGGACGACTGTAATCCAACCAGCATGCAGCAGGTTCTCCATCAGGATCTCAACCGCTTCCTCCCAGGACAGAAAACATCTCACAGCTTGGATCAGAGTCGCCTGCTGCTGACAGACTACAGTCAGACAGCTCAGAGCAGTCCGTCTGATCAAACTGTCCCTTCTCCCACCGACGCTGCTGATGGTCTCTGAACAACAGTCTGTGTGACGTGTGGAGAGCCAGGAGGCGGGCTCTTACCTTTAACTTCCTGTTCCATGGTGGCGTGGATCTGCTCCCTCACACCCGTCACTGTGGAGGGAACACAAGCTTCACGTCAGTTTCAGCTGGCTGCATGCAGTCACAACAACCAGCAACAACTAACAACAACAACTAACAACAACAACTAACAAACAACTAACAACAACAACTAACAAACAACTAAAAACCAACAGCTTTTCTTCACTCAACTGATGAATAAAACAAAGAAAAAAACACATTTGTGTTAAAAAGGATGATGAGACAAAAGATCTGAGAGGAAAAACAAGAAGATCAGCACTCCTGGAGAACAGAGGAGCACACAGGCTGGAGGTGTGAGGAGGAGGAGGAGGAGGAGGGACGAGGGGGAGGGGGTTCTCGTGAGGAGGTGAAAGAGGAGTGAGGAGGGATAAAGGAGGTAAAGATCCCAGGATTGACACAGGTGATGAAGAGGATGGTGATGATGTTAGAGCTGAAGGACTGAGGGATGTCCTGATCCGTCTCCATTTCTATAAAACTGTTCCTTTTTCTATTTCTATTGTTAATTTTACATATCATTCATTTTGATATGTTTAGTTTGTGTAGATATGACCTCTAACCTGTGATATGTTTAGTTTCTGTAGATATGACCTCTAACCTGTGATATGTTTAGTTTCTGTAGATGTGACCTCTAACCTGTGATATGTTTAGTTTGTGTAGATATGACCTCTAACCTGTGATATGTTTAGTTTCTGTAGACATGACCTCTAACCTGTGATATGTTTAGTTTGTGTAGATATGACCTCTAACCTCTGAGCTGCACAACATGTTTAAAACTCTGTTCATGATTGAAAACAACACAAAGCTGTTTCTCTTCGTTCTGTTTTCTCTGCTCAGGTCTGATCCTTCCTGCTGTCAGGAGTTTCTACATGTTTAATCTGATCAGCTGTTCGGGTCGGGACATCCCCTCAGAGGTACAGAGACCCTGCAGGCTGGGACAGAACATGTCCAGGTGTTACCTCCTCCTCCTCCTCCTCCTCCTCCTCCTGTGGTCACGGTGAGCGTGGCTGAGCACGCCTCCTCCCCGGCGGTGTTGGTGGCCCTGCAGGTGTACTGTCCTGCATGCTCACAGAAAGCGTCCACTATGATGAGCGTTGCAACGTTTGTCTCCTCGTCCAGGTGGAACACCACGTTCTTGGTGGGCCGGACCGGCTGCCGGTCGTGGAACCAGCTAATGTGTGGCCTCGGCGTGCCGGAAACACGTGCATAAAAGCGTGCCACCTCCCCATGTTCCACCGTGCAGCCTGTGATTGGCTGGATGAAGATGGGCTTTTGGCCCACAGAGGCTCTCTTTGTGGCGGCAGAGCCATAACTCTGAGGCTCAGCAGGACCCACCACTGCCTGAGTCCCCCCTGAAAGAAGCAGGTCATGGTTTTATTCCACTTAGGGTCAGGGTCAGACCTGAAGACAGGACCTGTCCTCTGAGGGACAGGGGGATTACTGGATCAGATCTAAACGTCCTCTGCTCCTCAGATCTACATGTTTTACATCCTCTTATTGAGTCACTTAAAAACAACAAACTGCTGAAAACTCAGGTTCACTGCATGACACAGAAACACAATACCCAGAATGCACTGCAGCAAACAGCTCACCCCATCAAACTGGGTCCAACAGGACAAACCCAGCAGCTGATCTACAACAGAACAGAACCAGGACGCTGCAGAAGCTGATGGTTCTGCAGGATCCAAACTCACCGTCCAGACTGAGGGTGGCAGAGCAGGACACTCTGCCGGCGCTGTTGGAGGCCACGCACATGTATTCTCCTTCATCCTCAGGATAAACTCTGGAGATCTCCAGCTGACAGCTGTCATCAAACTGAGACATCCTGAAGAAGTCCGACTGCTTGATCTCCTTCTCCTTGTGGAACCAGCTGATCTTCACATCTGGACCAGAACAAGAAGGACAGATGAAGCTCAGTCTGGACCGGGTCCTGATGCTCAGATAGAAAACCCTTTCCTGACTGATCTACAGCAGTGTGAGATGTGGGTCTTTAAGCCACGCCCACCAGACTTTAAGCCACGCCCACTCATCTCATGACACGTTCAGGAACGTCTGACGGCACCAACCTGGTCAGGGTCAGGGTTAGGTTAGGGTTAACCTAACCTGTCGCTCTGCTAAATAAAACAACGTTTCCTCACCGTCTCCACGGACTCTGCACAGGAAGTGAGCCGAGTCCCCTTCGTGGGCCGAGGTGTCCACAGTGGGTGTGACGATGACGGGGGGACAGATGGGGGCAGCTGTATCTGGAGAGACCACCTCAGAGACTGTGGCACACAGAGACCAGGATCAGAATGAGCCCCGCCCCCACCACGGTCCCGCAGGCGGGCGTTCTCTTACCTTCCACGTTGAGCGTGGCGGTGCTGGTGGCMGTGCCGTAGTCGTTCTTGGCCTCGCAGTTGTAGACGGCGGCGTCCTCGGGGAAGACCTCGATCAGCAGCAGGGTGTGCTCGGTGCCGTCGTGCAGGAACTTGCACTTGAAGCCCGGCGACAGAGCCTGGGAGTTCTTGTACCAGTTGACCTGCGGTGGGGGCACGCCGCTCACCTGCACGGAGAAGCGCGCCGGCTTCCCGGCCTCCACAGACTGGGGCTCCATGTGGTGCAGGATCTGAGGAGGCTCCGGGACTGAAAGGACAGGACAGGTTTTCAAAGACTCGTCTCCACTGGTCCACCTGAAGGCCGCCCTGTTGGACTTACTGTTGACCCGAAGGTTCATGGTGCTCCGGTTCTTGCCGGCGATGAAGGTGTACTCCCCGGCGTCGCTCCGGTACGTCTCAGAGATGGTGAGGCGGTGCAGCTTCCTGATGGACACGTAGCTGAACCTCTCCTCCAGAGAGAACTGGATCTCCACGCCGTTCCTCAGCCAGCGAGCCTCCACGTCGTCTTCGTTCACCTCGAACTCAAAGGTGGCTCTGTGTTTCTCCAGAACCTGAGAGAGAGGAGGGGGGTGCTCACTTCACATGCARGGCTTTGTTCTGGAAAAGCTGAATCTAAACCTGACTCACTGTGATCTCTCGCTCGGCAGGTTCTGAGATCCGGATGTCGCGGCCCTCCACAGTCAGGTGGGCCTTGGAGACACTGGATCCGGCCACCACAGAATATTCTCCAGCATCAGACATCCGGACCGTCTGGATCATCAGGCGATGAACGTACTTCTCTGCAGTCACCACGTACCTGTGAAGACAGCACACAAGACGACGTCCAGCTGAGACCTTTGGAAACATCTGTTAGTGTCGAAGGGGGCGGGGCTTTAGTCACACACCTGTCCTCAGACAGGTCCAGCTCCTGGTTGTCCTTCATCCACATCACCTGGATGTTGGGCTCAGAAACTTCACACTCAAACACGACCTTCTTCTTCTCTGTGATCTTTATGTCTTTGATCTTCTTGGTGAACTCGATGACTCGAGCTGTCAGAAACAACGAGCCATGAGAACACCTTCTGAATCCAAAGACGTTTCATTTCCTGCTGTGACCGAAACACTCCCTTACCTTCAACAAACAGGTTAGCAGCTGTGGCGGCGGAGCCGGCCACAAACTGGTACTCCCCTCCGTCTCCAAAGTGCACGTTTCGAATGGTGAGCGAGTGCGTGAGCTGCCGGCTGCGGACCTGGCACCGCTCAGAGGATTTCACCTCCACGCCGTTCTTCAGCCACTTGTAGGTGATGCCCTCGTAGTTGACGGTGACCTCGAAGGTGATGGTGTCTCTCTCCTGAGCGTTCAGGTCATCCAGCATGGAGGTGATGAGCACAGCTGCAGAAAAAGGAGACATTCTTTCAGAGACGTTCCCGTTGATGAGCGCAGATCATCGACTGGAGCTTACGGTTGACGGTGAGCGTGGCGGACACGCGGTCGTTCCCRCAGATGAAGGTGTACTCTGCAGAGTCCTCCCTGCTGGTGTTCATGATCTTCAGCTGGTGCAGTTTCCCCTGGACCACGATCCTGAACTTCTCGCTCATCTCGATCTCCACGCCGTCCTTCAGCCAGGTGGACGGCACGTTGAAGTGGGAAACTTCACACTCGAACGTGGCCACCTGGGTTTCTGGGACCTCCACGCTCTTCAGGGGTTTGGTGACTCTCAGAGCTGCAGGCAGCAGAAAACTGACATTTAATTCTCTAGAGATGTCTTTTCATCAGTAATATAGAAAAGTTATTAATCAGAACACTTCGACATTTGAAACACTTGGAAGAAATTTGAACTAGAATAAAGAAATATTTATTGTGTCGTTTGAATCATTTAGTATAAAAACAGAAAGATTGAAATTAATTTTAAGTGGAATATTTGACTGTCAGTCATTTATAATTGTTGTAAAAATAACTTTTAGAAGGTTAACTCCTGATTTCAGCTGCTGGTTCTGTTGTGGCTCACCAGTGATGGTTCTGATGGGTCCACTCATCTGACAGGATTGGTTGTGCTTTGATTAATTATGGGTTTTGTTTGGTTGATGGTTAAAAAACAAGTCTTTAATCTGAGATTCTGACACAGTTTTATAGAACCTCTTTAGTTCTGTTCGGTCCCTCAGACTGTGTCTCGTCAGGATGAAACACATCTGCACCGGCTTCCTGTTCTTTTAGGATCCAGTTCTGGACTGTACGAGACCTCGGCTCGGTTCGTGTTACAACAAAAACGCTGTAAAACCTCCGTCACACCACTAGATGGCAGAAAAATCACAACGTTTCAAACTGTAGAGAAAAAATCTTTTTCAGTTTGAATGATTCTCCTGATTTTTCTCTCAGTTGTGAAACATTTTAACAGTTAAAGGAAGAGAAAATAAAAACTGTTTGTTTTTAGGTTTCATGACACAAACAGTTTTGGTTTCTGAGAGGCCTTTGGTCCAAACGGATCCACCAGAAACTCTCATTATTAATTCTGCACTGGAAATCGTTAATAAAAAGTCAAACTCAGTTTGTGTGGACAGGAGGAACAAACAGCAGGAACTGGCACTGCAGCCAGAGTCCACCAACCAGATCCAGACTCAGAACCAGATCCAGATCCAGAGACCCCCTGACCTGTAGAACAGCCTAAATCAAACCAGCCAAACTGRTTTTGATCATTTTTTCATTGATATTAATGTAATGTTTGCAGTCTTTGATTTAAATGTTTGTTTTGATTTGATAATGTTTTTAGCAGAACTGAAAATGGACAGATTGATGATGAAATAAAACATTATTATTATTATTTTAATATTATTATTATCATAGTTATTGTTTCACTGCTTTAAATCTCTTTCTACTGGTTTGTGTTTGAGCAGATAGTTTTGGCTTTAAGTGAAAAATCAGTTTATTTTTGAATGAATTTAAAGTTTGGATTAAAGAATTTGATGTTTTTTTTCCTGTAGTTTGTTTGTTAATGAAATGATTGTGTTTATATGCCAGGTCATGTCAGCTCAGCTTGTTTTTAATTGATCTTTTAACTAAATTAAACTTTATTAATATCTTTACATTTTTTCCTGAAAGAGTTTCTTTCCTTTTTGGACCAGATTTAGTTTTATCTGAGAACTATAACTGTCTGGTTTCCACCTGCTCTTAACTAATGAACAAACGAGAAAAAAGCAGTAACTGTAGTAAATGTAATTTATTGTGAATCAGGTTGTTCATGAACACTGTGAGGTTTTCCGTATGACGGAGTCATGACGGGGTGTTGGGGTGCTGCGTACCCTCCACAGTGAGCGCGGCGCTGCACTGCAGGTGTCCCACCACGGCCGTGTACTCCCCCGCGGCGCTGCCGTCCACGTTCTGCAGGATCAGCTTGTGAGCCTTCCTCTCCGACAGAATCTTGCACTTCTCGCTGGACTTGAGCTCCACGCCGTTGAACAGCCACCTGACGGGGATGTTGTCGTGTGATAGGCTCATCTCGAAGGAGGCGGTGCCGTCCAGCAGCGATGTCACGTCTTTAATCTTCTTCACGATCTTTATAGCTGCAGAAACAAACATCAGGGAGGGAAGGGTTAACTCCAGTCAACCAGCTGCTGCAGAGCATCAACACCATGTGGACCGGACCAGACCGGGCCGGGCAGATACTCACTCTCTACGTTCAGCCGGGCGTTGGCCGACAGTTTCCCCAGTTTGAAGGAGTAAACCGTCTCGTCCTGCGTGTTGCAGTCCTTCACCTTCAGGGTCTGCACCRTTCCTTCGGAGGAGATCTCGTACTTGTCACTGTTCTGCAGTTCCAGCCCGTTCCTGATCCACTGGGATCCTTTCACGTCTGGGTGGGTCAGTTCCAGGGAGAACATGGCCTCCTGGGTCTCAGTCACAGTCTGGTTCCTCAGAGTCTTCTTGATCTTCACAGCTGCAAAGAAAACGATGACAGGATGGAGAGTCAGAGCCTGATGATGTCATACTTTATCCCAGTTACAGCCCAGGTATCTGAAACTGCTTTAATGAGCAGAGATATTAGTTATTTAAGTGAGACATACTTAAATACTTTTTAAGTATACAAGTATTTTACTTTAGATACTTAGTTTCAACTAAAGCTAATTCAACTAGACTTTTTAATGTTCTCTCATTTTGATTTAAAGACATTCTTTGGTACCACTTTACAATAAGGCTCCCCTTATGAATAGTTTATAGATAGGTTATTGATTCATCTGTAAACACTCTATATATCATTAATAAATGTTTATTATGGATTAATTAAGGACAGGAAAAGGACAAAACTGTCCGTTTTCTCACCAAATAGTGAGCCAAATCTGTTTGTGTACATATTACTAAGTTTATAACCATACTTATGTATTGGAAACACATTTTTAAAAAATAATATTGAACTATATTACTTATACATATTAACAA